ATTTACGTTTATGTTTGTTAATAATTCCTGTTTATTTAACTATATATTTGTTAATACTATTGTTTAAATTTCTCATATTTTCATGTATCTTTCCTGTCTTGCAAGGAGCACCTGTAACATAAATAATTTCCCCTTGGGGATCAATAAAGTATTTCTGATTCTGATTCTGATTCTGAACACAACAAAGGACGCTGTGGCATCAACCGCGTAATGCACGTTAGCCAGGTCAGGCCGGGTGAAACATCTCATGTAGCTGCAAGTCAGTGTTGTGATATTTGCACATTATCCAAGAACCTGTTAATATCCATGTCTTTCATGATGTTTAAACACAGGTATGCTTCTTTATCTGACCAGAGGTACAGGCTTTTCTTTCAGCCATGCATCTCTACCCTTCAGCCTTGCAAAATGTTAGTCAGTCGGACTGTGTAAAACATAACCATGACAACGTACGGAGCTGACTGTAAACAGGCAAGAGGCAGTGTCTCGCAAACTGTGGTAAAACCCCAGTTGTGATGCAAAATCTGAAAGCACTGTATACATGCCTTAAGAGCACTCTTAAATCCAAATTACATCAGTATATTCCACATGTAGGCGGCACTTCTGTGTGGAGTTTGCATGTTCTCCCCGTGTCAGTGTGGGTTTTCTCTGGGTACTCCAGCTTCCTCCCACAGTCCAAAGACATGCAGGTTAATTGGTGACTCTAAATTGTCCGTAGGTGTGAATGTGAGTGGTTGTCTGTCTCTATGTGTCAGCTCTGTGATAGTCTGGTGACCTGTCCAGGGTGTACCCCGCCCCTCGCCCAATGTCAGCTGGGATAGGCTCCAGCCCCTCTGCAACCCCCAACAGGATAAGTGGAAAATGAATGAATGAATGAATGAATGAAAATTCCACATGTCTTAACTGGAAAATGCTACATTTGGAAAAAGACTTAATACTGATTATCCAAACAGAGTATGCTGTTTATGTGACCTGTGTCAAATTCAGAACATTGTTACATTAGGAATAATAGTGGAAATTATTAGTGTGCATGTAAATGTAGTCAATGGCAATGTACAATGAGAACAATCAAGAAAATCCCTGCAGCATGATGGCAGGCACCATGTAATGGCAGTAAATCAAACAGCACTCTCTGACTTTAATTTATCTGCTGCAGTAAAATGTTCTTCCTCATAGCATAAGTAAGATTTTAGTACAACCCTTTATTGTTTTTGATGTTACATATCTGCCTGGTTGGCCCAGGATGTGGGACAGAAGGTCCCTTATCTCCAGTTCCAAATCCATTTTTTTTTTCCATATCAGATAGCACATTGGACCAGTACCTCAGCTTTATGGCTCGACCACACACAATGAGTTAGAGTGCCAATTACAACCACTCAGGACAGTTATCAGCCATAGCCCTTTTATGAATCCACTGATATATTCAGCTGATGTTTGCCCTTAATAACATATTATGGGCTGTTACTCTCGCCCATCTCTGATATAATGGCAGCTCCTCCCTGACTACAGCAAAATAAAATATTAAACAATATCTCAAAATTGTTCATGTTACAAAGCTGTCACCCAAAACAATTTCCGGAGTAATGGATTCTGACATTTCTCTAAAGCCGTTA